CCCGTTGGCAGGTCCTTCTCATACGACATGGTTTATCGATACACACCTATAAAACATTTTCCAGTCAAGGTTTTTTGGAATGAAATTCGAAATTTTGCTTTCGGTACTGCTCGCTCGCTCGATGCATGCCACGCCAACTGTGGGCCGGGCTTTGCTTAAACAATTTGTGTTTTGTACTTTTACGGACCATGACCTATCATCTCGAACATGAACCAGTCTCCCAAGTAATTCCTCCGGTAGTATGGTAATCTCGTGACAGAAGCCCAGACGACGGAGCGAAGCGCTTTATATCTTTCGGGAACGGAATTAGCTACTGTTTCGGAAAACCAGGCGCTCGTCGAGTGCCGACCACACAACACAAGCCACGACAGCCTCCACAAAATGAAAATGTTTCGCCAATGAAGTGAATTTGCCGTTTGCAGTTGTATCAGTTGTCACATTACAACTAACATGTTCTAAACATCGGCTGTCACCATGAACACTAGTTTACTAGGTTGCTGAAATCGTGACTTGTGGGTGTGTGCTCTGCACTCGAAGCACCTGGTTCTCAGAAGCAGAGGGTTACTAAGGTGACCGTATGCTGAACTTCCAAGATGAACGCAAAAAAATTCCTTCAGATTTCATTTCGTTTCTCCGAGGAGGACTATCTCAAGAACAAAAGTGTAACAATGTGTGGGTAAAAATGAAAATGTGCTGAAAGTGAAAGAATTTAATCACTTGGAAACAAGTGGAGGGGTTTTCATCCTATCCCTAGCCAGATGCTCAGCTTACAACGCGCGGCGAAGGTCTGTAAATAGAGCCTTTCAAGACTGGGCCACGTGCTATTTATTTCATAGCTTTTCTTTGACTGACCTAAAAACTCAAAAAAGCCGTGATTGAGCAATTTCTTCATAATTGCAGAAAACCGTAAAGAGTTATTAGGTTTGGAATTAAATCTTTTTCTCAAGAATCCTGGAACCTGCACCGCTTTGGAGACTAGAATTTTCGGAGTGTTGGAATCGGCACTTTGCGTTCATCCTATATTTACCGACGAAAGCTCTCGAAAAATTGGTTGCTTCCAGGATCAAAGGGGTGCGCGGGATATGCTCGCCACAGTTTCGCGCGGGAGGCGATCGTATTTGGCCCGCTGGAATGAAGGGGTTGGGCTGGACCGATGCATTAAGATCGTCACTGTCGGAGGACTCTATAAAACGCAAATATCGAGGAGTTATCGTGTGTGAGTTTGGCCACATGATTTCCAATAACAATTTTATTCCGCTCACTTAAAGTATTCGTGGTTTAAAGGGGTCGTAGTACTACGCTACCTACATAATTTATCACGACAAGGATGAAGAATTCGAAATTCGCACACTTTTAGACAAACATTTTATCTTTCAAATGAGTCCACCAACGTGAATGGATGTTAAGCACACGGCGCATCTCAGAGTGAGGCCAGTCAGCGCGCGCTCTAATCACGGGTTCACTGTGGACAAAAATCTCAATTTAAGAAAAATCAAAAAGATTTTAAAAAGATCTGGGCGAAATTACAGGGAAGAATCCACTACTCAACAAGAAATGTAGTCTTCAGCGTCAAATTCATATGCATGTAATCGCCGTATGTAAGTTGAGATTCGCTAAACAATTTCGAAATTATTGGAAAGAAAAAACCACGTAGATTCTGAATCTGCTCATACCTCTGATAATCGCCCCTGAAAGGAGCTATAGTCGTTGGAAGAAAGTCAATGCAGCGGGAAAAGTGAAAAGTTTTGGCGGTACTCGGACAAAATCCTCGACGTGGCCACTTTTTTAATACTGGACATATTGAACAGTTCTAGATTTGACTTGTTTTTGTTTGTTAACTGCTGTTTTTGGCCGCAGTTCGCCTTGCGAATGTTTCACAAGAATGCTGGGTTGTGAACAAAACTTTCGCCCCAGGCGGGACTAGAACCCGCACCTCTCGCTGGGGCGAAATTGGTTCACAACCCAGCGACATACTTGTGAGAGAAGTTGTAAAGACCGTTGAATAGAGCGAATCCTCTTGTTAATGATGATGCATAAACTTTTCAAATTGCATGAGTTTGGGTGGATTTATGTGCATTGGAAAATGTAAAAAAAAAATAGCACTCATTTCGACGATTTTTCTCGTTAATTTTGCAAACAATTCCGGAATTGCCTTTAAAGGAGGAATTCACGATTAGAATGAAGGTCGAAGAAAGGGAAACTGACCTAGTTGAGGGACCCACGGACCTCCTGAGGGTGCGAACTGACGCGCAATTCGCATGGAAAAATTTGACCTCGGCGACCTATCATGCCTCAAAGCTGGCGGGTCCGGCGATCTCCGCCCACCGATCATCTGATCACTCGCCGTAGTTCAATACGTGGCGAGTGATTAGATAGCTGAGAGAGCGTAGTGTTGAAGAGGGCACAGCGATGAGAGTCGCATCAATGCTCGAATCAACGGGCAAGGAAGGGTACCATTTCTCGGGCATTTTTCGTGTACCACTCACCATCCCTAGGTTAATTTGAAATGGGTTGCTTTTTCATCGTGAATTCGTCCTTAAAAAACCGCAAATTGACACGAATCAAGTCACTTAAAAAGCTGTAATTGAGCAAATCAGCAAAGCAAGTTATGGCTCTGAAAGTGTTAGATTTCTCATTGATTTTCATAAATTCAGTATTGATTAGAATGAGCTCCTCACAAAACTTTCATACCTGCTTTCAGATTGGAAAGCGTTCATATTTGAAAAGTTATGTCATAGGTGAATATTACGTTCAATTTCAATAGCCGCATAAGCTGCTTTGCAGGTTACGCCAAAGATCATCTGCACATAGCTAGTTGAACGGTTACAAGGTTTCTGTCAACAAATCGTAGGAAACGTGTAGACTTTGAGAGCGTACTCTGTGTTCTGCGTAGTACTGAGGCTTAGTAAGCCTTCCAAAGAAAATAACGGAAGAAGGGATGCTGCCATAGTATGCTATTTTTCATAACTAGCTCGTCGTTTTTAGTGCATTTGTTGATAGGACTCATTGCTGATCTTTCCTTGACCTTTTTATAATACTTGTTGAGTGTTTTCGGTGTAGGGGGGGTACCAGTTTTTTTTTTCGATGAAAAGGTTCCTGGAAAGGTCTGTTAACCAACTTTTTCATACTTCGCTTTGTGGGAGGAGTCGCTTCAAGGACTTCGACCGCCGGGGATGCAGGGGGTGGTACTTCAAAATTTTCTCGACGCCCTGCTCGATCCTGGTCGTTCCATTCCACTTTCATTTGCACGATACCGCCACATTATACATTTGCCGCAGTATAAGGGCAGCACCTTTCACAAACACGTCATCGTCACGATTTTGAGTCATTTCCGGAAACATCCACCAATTCTTAAAACCAGGCATTTCATGTAACCGTGCCATTCATTATCACTAGTCTATTCTGAAAACGTAAAAGCGGAGGCATTAACGGTGGCACATAGTGCGGTAACGGCACAAACAGTCCAGCATCGGAATCGCGAACCAAATCAGCAAGCAATCAGGACATCTACCTACTGGACCTACGTATAACAATTGAATACTTATTGATCCGTTTCAAGTTTGCAAGAAGCCGAAGCGAATTTAAGCGCACTGATGACAGAACAAGTGGAAAGCGGGGCCTACGCTAAAAAGGACTTGCTGTTGCAACTATGTAGTTCGCTTTGATTATGAGAATCTCAAAGGCTGCTACATATTTGCTGCCTTTACCATAGTATGCAAATGCGGGAATGTCGTAAAAAAGATTTACGGGTAAGGCTCAAATTATTTTGAGGAAGGAAAGAAAGGTGGCAAACAGCAATAAACAACGAGCTTTTTAGGCAGGGTCTATCGTTCATTAGTACTTTTTCAATATTTTCATTAGAAGTCTTATTTGGAAAGTATGGGTCGTTTTTTCGAGACTCACACAAAGAGAAGCCTTTCTAGAGTGTAGGAGACGATTTTTGAAGAAATCTTAAAGGCTTTGCCGCTTCAACAGCACAACAGAAAACCCTGCACGGAGTTGCATTTTAATGCATATTCAGCTAAACAATGAGTTTTCAAGGGACAATGATCATGTTTTTTTCTTCAGGCTTGGTGTGCAGCTAAACTGCGTGGACGTAACTCCTTTCATCACGCTTAACTTCCGCTCCCACTCCCACTCCTGGGCTGAAATACTTTTCAGAATATACCTAAATTCCCAATGGAACTCTTCGGCAGTGTGATATGGCACGGTTCATTACACTACATCTTTATGAGCATTGATGCGATATCCAGCTGAAACACTTAGTTTATGTATTTACTGGGAAATTATAGCGAAGATAAATGGTAGGCCTTGCTGGCAGGACAATCAATACTAATTTTCAGCGGAATTACATGATTTCTCAGTCAATACAAATCATACATGATTGTCTACTCTCAAATCTCCGTAGTCATGGTGAAGTACGGGCGCAGCCAACTCGCTGGACTCCAGCGATCGTCAGAACTTCATCTTCCCATCCTCAACAAACGACAGAAAATTTTGTTAGGCGTACGTGTGACGAACTGCGACGGCTGCGCTCAGCGAGATTCTCCATTTCATCATCTCCACCCTTTTAAATCTACCAAACCTTGAAGCATGTCCGCTTGAGCTTCGACGGCTCGTCAACTCAGAGATGGACGTAAACGGCAGCTTGAGCTGCTGAAGGCGGAAGGAGCGTCTCGCGGCCGCTAACCAGATCCACAACTCCAAATTGGCTTTCTGCTCTCCCCAGCTGTTCAGTTTTTGAGACGACACTGCACCGGACTGGAGGCTGGCAAAGGTCCTACGCAGTGGGAGCTGGAGACTGCTTCAGCTTGTCTCCAGCAGGGAATTCACCGAGCTTCTTTAGGATGAATATTATAAAGGGCCTTCTTGAGCTCGTTGCTGATCATATTTTGAGAGTAAGAACAATGACCGAGTACTTGGGTTGCATACGAGGGATCTTTAAGGAACATTGTGTCACGGTACTTCAATCCACCTTGTTCCCCATGCATACGAATGCTTGTGCGCGAAGTGAGCAAAGTAGCTTTATCAGCACTCACCCCCCTCCCTCCCCACTCCACCCCTGCCCTCCCTGCTGTATACATCAATGGGCTTGTGCGCACTCGGCGGGAGCATAATGAACCATCCTTTCACGATGGTGTGGTTTTTCTAAGCTTACGAGATCGTTCGGAAATCTTCGTTCTTGATCTAGGGACACGAAATCGAATTCAGTTCTTTTGGTTTTTGCTATAATGGATACCGTGAGACGTGTAAGGCTGGCGTATGCGTGAACAGTGTTTTCTTTACAATACAGAACGAAGTGCAAGAGGTCAGATCTTGTTCGTCACCGCTGGTTCATGCATAAGCGCGACAGGGTTTTGGTCACGATTTTGGCCAATTTCTGTTTTAAAAAAGTGGAGTTTTAGGCTTTCCGTAGGCAAGAATCAAAACATTCAACCGAAGAGATAGAGTGCTACTGCAATGGTGTTGAGCGGGGGTACGTCTTGATTCAGGCCAGGATTCGAAACCACATTTCACCCTTTGCATTAATACTCTGCTATTCACTTCTGGATGAACGCGGTGGTGTATTGGCAAGTGGCCACGCTTACCACGCGCGCGGTCCGGATCAAATCCTGGGTCGTGAGTCGCCCGGGCCAACCAAGCCTTCCATCCCTCCGGGGTCGGTTAATTGGTACCAGACTTGTCTGGGAGGATAAAAACACTGACTTGTACATCGGCTGGCCCCCGCAAGTCATTGTATAGCCACATCGCATTCAAAACGCCATTACGAATGTACAAATTGGAAGGTTAGAGTCGTACCGCATCCAAAGACGGCGGCAGAAGCTTTAATCCTTTTTTATCCTTTATTCACTTCTAGGGTAATGATGCCTAGTCGCCTAACACATAAGGTTGAAGTAATTTTCCGGGCAGTTTGTGGAATCGTAACTGCTGGCTTACACGGACCATGTAGAGTTGGATTACAGCAATCATATACAGAGGGAGCCAAAAAAGACACTTCGCCCATGTCGCTTTCGGCCCTTTTTTCTTCGCGGAGATTGCGCGATTTTCGCAGAAAAACGGGAGTTCCTCAGCCAAAATATTTTCTAAATGTCCCTCTATAAGTAGACGCAGGCCCTCCTTCACTAGCCCTCACCGTCTTCAGAATATGACGTCATCTGTCATCGTCGTCGAGCTCAAGGAGGCCTACAGTAACTGCTTCAGCCTGAAGCTCTTACATAATTTCTTGAACCATTTTAATATTGAATAATTTCTCGCGACACTAGGTGCTCTGGACTATCCAAACCCTCAAAACCCGTTTTCCAAAACGTCTCAGGACGCTTGACGCTTACCAGTGGCCGACATTAACTTCTGGGCGCGAATTCTTCTTATGCGTGAACCTCAAGGCCATGATAAAGTTATTTTCATGAAATGGAATGTGGTCCTCAATTCTGAGTTCGGAGGAATCGGTTCGAGTTGAGCAAAGTGTGATTGAATCCATTCGAATGTGCAATGTGGAGACAAAATGCCTTTTTTTTATTGACCCCCCCTCCCTGTATTGATGAATATAAATCTGATTACGCCGTCGTATTTGAAAGGCAAAGACAGTTCTGACTGAATTTTCGCCTTTGAAAGCCTATCTATCCATTATCGCAGGAGTTTACGATCATTAGGTAACTACGCATCATTAATCCGAATATGGGCACTGTTTCTGGAAGCTCTCCAATCTTGCGAACACCGACTGCCCTAGGTGTACTGGCTTGAATCCATTCCTACATACCTAGAGAGCATGGAGGACCTGTAACAGTGTTCGTCCAAGAAGTATGCGAGAAACTGGAATACTAGAAAAATTAAAATTATAAACTGTAACGGGCCAAATACTAGAAAAATGAAAATCATGAACTGTAACGGGTCAAACAGCCTGTTAACCTAAAAATGCACGAAAAGCTATAACGTCGTGTGATAGTTATGAGAATTGAGTGTGTCCTCTCTGAATTTTGTCCTTCATACACATAAAACTGAGTGGAACGACGAATAAGTATGTGTGCAGTTTCGGTTCTCTAACTTTCTAAAAGGCCATATAACGAGAGCTATTAAGTCAAGAACGGACGCCATACGAAGTTTTTGTGCGTAATTGATTTTGTTGTCAGATCTGACGTTGCCCATTTCCTTATACATATAGCCCAGCATAGAAATGTGACAAATGAGGTCATTGAGCTCGATCTTTCAGCCTCGGCGCAGGTCATCGGCTCATGGATGATAAGATCGAAAAAGTGTTTTGACGGAGGTGGAGCGGTGATGGCGTTCGCTTCGCGCGCACATTGTCTGGAATGCGTGCTATCCTCGTCTCTTTGTTGGTCGTCACTTCGGTTTCGGCGGAAATTGTTGGGCTCGAGACGAAGTCCTTAAGGAAAGGTCTGTTCCTTTGCTAGTCATCTAAGCTTCCATTCTTCTACTGCTCATCCTTGCCCCTTCCAGGAAATGTACTGAAACCCTCAACGCGGTCACTGCGCTTGATTATCATGCGATTCTGCCCGTGGTGTGAGCGAGTGCTTCTGGTCATAGCACGGAAAAACATCAAGTCAGTGACTAGCTTCAAAGGCAGCGACAGCAGTACTTCATGATACTAGATTCTATTTAGCGTTGAAGTTGTAAATGTGAACCTGTCCGACAAGCCGAAATTCCTATTCGAGAAACACCCTGATGGCAGAGTACCAATCCTCGAGCACAACAATAAGGTAAGAGTTTTATTTCAGATATTTACCCCTTTCAGTCCTGAATTATTTGAGTGAACAAAAAAATTCCTCCCTAATGCTCTTATTTCTTCCTACACTAATTAAGTGGCCGCTGCAAAGCAAATTTGGAAGGAAAAGATTCTTTTAGGCGATCTCTAACAGCGAGCAGAAATGCTGCCGCGCCAATATGCCAACCTCTGAATTTGATGGCAGTAATAGGCATCGCCAGGACCGAAAGTGTTAAAGGCAGTGAGAATGTCAATTTAGCCGTTTGTATAGCACAAGTATGGATAGTAAGACTAATCAAGTGTTGGGGCGGAGGTGGCGTAGTGGCAAGTACCACGCTTACCACGCGAGCGGTCCGGGGATCGAATCCTGGGTCTGAGTCGCGCCTTCCATCCCCTCTGAGGTCGGTCCACATCGCATTCAAACGCCACTACGAATGTACAAATGGAAGTAGAATGCGTGCCGCATCCCAAAAAGGGATTGATCAACGGCAAATGCTTTATCCTTATCCTTTAATCAAGTGTTGAAACGTACGCGTATCGCATTCGGATTGTCAGGTTTTAAATACTAATGAGCCGATGCTTCCTAAAAGAACAAGCACGAAACCTCGGATGCGTTTCAGTCCTTCGCCCAGGTCGGTAACTAACAAGGGAGGTCTTTCAGGGCAAGGTGCGCTTTTTGGAAACGGTTTAGTACATGTTGTAGGGACGCATGTATGGACCACAAAACCATGTTTCGTTTCGCTGAACGGTTTTAGTAGTACCAAAAAAGTGGTGAATAATACTCTTGATGGTTCAATCCCCGCGGCGACTAAATTTTGCAATCAAGGTTGGCGGCCACTTGTTGGCTTCAAAATGGTCCTGACGATGAATTTGACATCTGATTTTGATATTTAGCGCGATTTGGCACCAAACCGTAGGCGCCAACCCAAATGCAAAATTTAGTCGCCACGGGGGATCGAACCCTTAACAGTACCTTATGCTTCTTTTTTGGTACTGCTAAACCGTTCAGCGAAAATGAAACATGGTTTTGCGTTCCCTACATGCGTCCCTACAATATGCAAAACCGTTTTGAAAAAGCGCACCTTGCCCTGAAAGACCTCCCTTGTTAGACACCACTCATTTGCTCGAAGCAAGCCTAGTGCTAACTATAAACCTAGACCCAATCATAAGTTTAACATAAGCCAATGTGTAAGCATAAGCCTAGGCCTAAGCCTAATCTCAGCATAACATTAGGTTTCAAAGATGGTGCACCTCTGGCATAGGAGGAGAAGTGAACGTCTCCCTGTAACATCACTGCGCTCCCCACATGGAAAAGTTGGCCGCGAGGATGACATGGCTTTGGTGACTGCCTCTGTGGGCCTCACTTTTTTGCATTTCTTTAAACAAAGAAAATGCATTCACGTTGGAGCAGCGACCAGAACGATGTAGTTTTTTGCATTTTGACTTTTATTTTTGACACCTTATTACCAAATAACTCGGAACTTTCATTTTTTCACCAACACTAAATTATCGTGAACACTGCTTCGAAGAGAATAGCAGGATGCCTAAGTGCGGTAGTTATTTACATGTCAGGGTTACTACTCGCCTACCGAGAATAAATGGTTGGGTTGTATACCGAGCCAAAGACTTCATTGCTTTGATATGAGGTGGTTGGCGCCTGAGTGTAATTGAGAGGTATTGGGTCATCCCATGAGCAATGAAAATTTGCCATACCTTATTTTCTCGAAGCTATTTTATTCGAATGTCAAAAACCGATGTCGATTCACTAATGTCAATTTGCTAATTTATATTCTTGATCCACAATTCAATCTATAGCTTTCCTACCTAGCAACTTTCAGAAGCTCCGCTTAAAAAATTTACTACCCTGGATCAAGCATAACTTCCTTGCTACTACTGCTAAGACCCAGGGTCGATGCAACTCTGGTCCGATTTCGAAAATTTTACGCTTTGAGAGTCGCGTTATGGCCCCGCCCTCCCCGTGACGGTCATCTGTATGTGTAGAAATGCGCCAAGGCGATCTGTGCGCGACTGCGTCGCGTGGTTCCCATAATGCGTCCAATCCTTCTCGCATCCACCGGAAAGAAAGCGCCAAGAACTACGAGTCTTTAAAAAAGTGTAGTCCTCTTGAGACTTGATATTTTTCGAAATTCCAGGTAGATTTTTAGTCCATGAGACCATGGTTTCAGAAAACTGCGGGGATAATGCAGTATTTCTTATGAAGCACGAAAGTTAGATCTTTAAAAATGCGCGCTTGATCCTTTCTATGTTCGTATTTTCTTGAAATGTGAAATTTCGAGAAATGGCAAGAAAATTTAGTAACTCCAAGTTGTTCCCTCTCTGAATAAAACTAGAACTTTTGTCAATATTTGTTTCCTCAAGAAATCGTCCCGTTGCCTCGTTTTTTGTGCGCACGCGTTTTTTGGCTTTGAATTGCTGTAACTTTCTTGACCTTTACCCTTCTGCAATTTTCCACAGCCTGTAGAAATTAGGAGGTTAGAGCTGTGCAAAGAGTATTGAACTCAATTCAAAATTGATCGGACCGAAGAGTATCTCCGTTGGTCCGTTTTTTCTCCACCAGTTTCTCGGGGTATGCTCCTGAAAACGTAAGATTGCATCGGCCAATCGGTTACGACTCTTTTCAAATTGAATGCTGTAAGGAAAGTTGAATAAAGATAAACTATAGCGTATGCTTTATTCTTGATAATAGGCACCGTCATCCTGAAAAGTCACCCTAACATACAAGACTTTTGTCGAAATTTCCTGTCAAGCCTTCAAAAGCCAGTTCACACAAGTGGTCGCTATTTCCTTTACATAGGTGTGGTCCGAAAACACCATGTCCCCGTAGAGCATTAATTGTGCCTCTGGTAAGCAAATATGTACCGGTTTAACGTTACTACCTCGGCGCAGCTTGTGCTTTAGAGTTGACGAAGCACTCGAAAACGACACTCCTCACCTACTGTCGCAACAGCGAACCTTTTGATTCTAATCGTTTATTCAGGCAAACCCAATTCCAAAGCTACGAGCTTTACGGTGTGGTAATAGTAAGTGAAATAAATAATAATTTGTTATTGTTAAGGGGTGTGTTAATTGTGGTGGCGCATTTGTCTAACATTGCATATTTCCCTTGCCGTGTCGTCGGATCGGTTTCTTCACATTTAGGTCCCTTATAGCGTTAACCATAACCTACGCATCTACACTCATGAAGATCTCTACGCATAGCGAGGGTAACCCCTGCGCATGCGACCCCTGCCCTTTCTTCGGCCGAATACGACCCTCTCGTTAACCGTTGACCAATGGACGGTTGACCCTGCTCGGACCCTCGAACACAGTAGTTATGTCCCCGCTCGAGTGATTTTCCAAGTCACGAGCAGGAAAAAGAGTTTGTTTTGACAAAAATCCCCAGTAGGGGGGAGGGAATGGGTTGAACCTATTTTCCCAAAGCCTCGCTTAACCCCTTTGGAATAAGTTGTAATTAGATGGCGTCAAGTTCGTCGAGTATGTAGGATGGGATTTGATTGCCAATCAAAGTTGCTAAACATGTCATTATTGCTCTACGTGGTTTGAAAGGGGGTAGGAGCAGGGTCAACCCTACGTTGCTACAAGTAACAACCGGGGGGGGGTCGTAGTTTGTTGAAGTTTGTGGTGGGGGTCGTACTTGTTTCGGTAGCGCGAAATTACATGTGGTGAGGTGACCACCCTCCGCTCGACGGTGTTTTTTGAGGGAAAAATGGCTGTGAAGAGGGGGTCGTATGAAACTTCTCGTGAAGGAGGGGGGTCGTAAAAATTTTGCAAAAAGTACCAACGATAGGACCGACCCTGGGTTGGAGCGTTGATGAGGCGTCCATTGACAAAATCTGGAAGGTCTTCCGAAAGAGTGTGTGAGTGGATGGCCGAATGAGCGAATCCGAATTCAACGTTAAATTTCTCCATGGTTACATTTCAATTTTCCTCCACGATCCCTCGCGGAAAATCCTCAGCAAGCCTTCCAGTGCAAGCCTCATCTCTTCGGCTTTAGTTTGCGGAAGGGAATTTTTAGAGCCACCACTTGCACGGACTCGCACTTATCATGCCCTTCCTCATAATTCTTAGGTACTATTTACCCTTTACTGCCCCACTCCTTCGAAAACTGAGCCGGATTTTATCGAAATTTGTGTATGACTGTGGATTTGGCTAGAAAGTTGCCTACCGAGGGTAGTTTGACTCGTAGTACGCGAATACTACATTCGCTCAGCGCGAAAACGCTTGCCGCCCGCGCCACAGGTGCCGGCGACAAAATGCGCCGAACACCTTGTGTCACTGAACTTGTTGGAAAGCTTGTCGTCAGAGTAGCTGTACCTGTAGAACATGATTATCACATTAGCTTGTTGTGAGTGAGCCTGTAGCCTGCGCTACGACAAAACTGATGTGATAGCGTCGGCGCCTGTGGCGCGGGCGCCAAGCGTTTTCATGCTAAACCTGATGTGATATTCGTGTTCTACGGGTCGAAATACCCCAAGCAAGTTTCTAGCCAAATCCACAGTCATGGACAATTTCGATCAAAATCCGGCTCAGTTTTCGACAAGTGGGGCAGTAAAGGGTGAATCGTGGCGATTCTTCAATATTCCTAACTGTTCCCTTGGCGCCATTTTTCTTTGTCTATTCGGAAAGTAAAATATGCCGAAAATGCTGTTTCGCCCCTTCCAGTTTGATGTCATGAAATTAAAAGTCTTTTATCGTTTACAGTTTTGGAATTTTAACACATTAAAGAGGTGCTGAGGAAAAACTATTCGATAGAATCCTGTCACAAACCAGACCTTTCTCGCAACGAAAGGCATCAATGGATGCTAGTTACTTATGGGATGACCAATACAATCAGAATATAAGCAGAGATGATGTAACTGGCTTTAGATCGAATTCCGTTGAAGACAAACAACCTTTCTGCCTCTTGCCAAATCTTCTGATTGGGTCAGAGTGTAGAGGAAGACAACTGTTGAACACTGTTTAGAACGCAGATCGGCTTTGTGAAGTGACTTTGTTGCCATAGACACACCCAACGGCTGTGAACTCCAAATTTAGCTTTACCAATTAGCGCACGTTTGGCCTTGATCCATTTCGGGCATATTATGCACCATTCTTCACACAATACGGTACAACTGCTTGCCGTAGATAACGAGCATTGTGCTAATCGCGTCATACATTTCAGACGATAATCGAATCAAGTTTGATAGCAGAGTACTTGGATTGGATCAGTCCTGCCAAACCCATACTACCAGCCGATCCATATTTGAAAGCAAGGCAAAGGATGATTACAGCGCAGCTGGAAGCCAAGGTCTGTAGATTATGCTCTAATTCTTGGAGCCTAACTTTCAATATCTAAGAATTCAAGCTACCCGCGGCTGCCTACGCTCTTGTTAATGAGCAACGATTTCCTGCAGAAAAGAAGCCAACTATGGCAATGCTTCACGAGGCTCTCATTTTGGCTGAGAAGTTGCTTACTGACATTTTCTATGGAGGTATTACGTTTCGCTTGAGAATATTCCCCAGAACTTCTTTTACATTTTTTTCCGAAATCAATTTACATTTTCAGGTCGTGAACCAGGTTTTGCTGACTATATGACATATCCCTTCATGGAAAGGATATGGATTTGGACCCACGAGGTATGTTTGAAAATTAAAGGCAAACCCCGGGATTAGCCCGACTAGTGGGAAGGATACCGCGAGGGAAATTGTAAGGTCCGTACCTAGATCACTCCAGCTTCGTCGCAAAAATTGCGCGGTTAGGGCGCTAATCCTTACGGGCCTGCAACCATCGACCCCGTTGCAACGCTTCCCACCCACCTCGATGGTGAGATCAGCGTGCTCTCTCAAACACGTGCTCTCTCGCGTGTTTTGTCTTCTTTGATCGCCCTGTCTCGCCATCGTACCACATCCGACCTTATTGAAGGTTAAGGCCTTAATTTCAGCGTTCCCAAAGATTTCTCTTGCTTTCCTTTCCACTTTCAGGTCGTTCCGCAGCTAAGCTATCACTACAAAGCGCCTTAGCACCAGTTTAATCCCGGAGTTTGCCTTTAAGCCACTCCTTATGTAAGTGAGCATCACTAGCCCTCATGCCGTATTATTAGCGTCAAGAACTGCGTAATGCAAAATTTTGGTGGCGTACGACTTCCAATGTTGAGGCATCGGTGAATGAAGGATAGCTTATAAACATTCGAGGTCAATCGACATATTTCTGGGATGCGCCACGCATTCAGT